AGTCGGTCCGCTTGTATGCTCCCCAGGTGTGTTGTTCTTTCCAGATCGCCGGGTTTGCTTTCTCGGTGATCTGGAGGCCGTTCCATCTCTGTCCGTCCTGGGTTTGGACCCGGCTGGGTCTTGTTTAGGGCTCTTGGACCGCTCCTTGTCCTTCCCTCCAGAAGTGTGGCACGGGTCTCCCAAGTCGTCCACAGAGTTTATAGGTCTTCCAGCCTGCGGTCTATCCTTGCGCCCATACTGTTCAGACATTTGCAGCTTTCGCTGCTGTGTTGGTGATGTCTAGGGCTTATTTCGGGCGCAAGGATTTGAGGGTCGCACTGGTTCCTGGCCACCCGTTCTTTATGCGCGCGTCTGCTCTTGTGCGTTCTTGTTGCCTTGGGTCGCAGGTTGCAGCCAGGTAGGATATATTTTATACTGTATAACTAAAATTAATAAAGTTAATTGTGTAATTGCATTCCAATTTAGTGCACGGCCGACGATTAAGCCAGTTGCTGGCTGCTGCATGGATGATGTGTGAACACGCTCTGATCAAGTCCAGATGGGTGGGAAAAAATTGATTCATTCCTTTGTATTGAAAAATATTTTATGTATCAATCAGTGAGTTAATATTGTCTTAATAAAATTTTAGAGATGTGTTTTGATTTACCCTGAACAGTGCAGGTAATGTATTTTTAATGTTACGACACAGGCTGTGGCGGCCATGCCATAACAATGGCGATCGAGCCTTGTCACTGAGAGCTAGCCAAGACGAAATATTTTGAGCTCACCTTTTCTCTGCTGACGATAGAATATACATTTGCAGAGACTAATATGTAGCTTTTGTTGAAAAAAAACAATGAATATCTTGTAATACTATAATAAAATTGGTAAATTGACTTACTTTTAATGAAGCTGAAGATTACGAAGCTGTGAAGATTACGTCATCCTCTGCAGCGCTTGTTTTATATTGTTTATATTGTATACAGGGTACATACTGTATGTACAGTACACTTATTTTCAGGCACTCACTTCACACAACAGCTAGCCTTACTACTAATTCACATGAGTTCTAATTCTACTTCACTATTGACAATTATGTTGAATGTTAAACTCTGCTGCTGCTCATGCATGAGAATATCCTTTATCAAGTTTCTTAATTAACTCCAGCTTCTGTGCAACCGTCAGGCGCTTCCTTTGGGTAACTTTTGGCATTTTGTAAATTAAAAAGATCACAATTACAGTACAGTAATATCCTTCACAATTGAAGCTAGCCGCGCGAGTTCACGGTAAACAATGGGAACACATGGCCGGCGGAGTACATACTAGGTCCGTGGGAAAAAAAATACCTAGTGCCTATACATACTATAAAAGGTATTTAATAAGAAAACAAAGACTTTTGCTTAATAAAAACTGTTTATTGTCTCGGCTTCGCGTTGTGGAGTTTGTGGCGGCCGCCTCCTTGGTCAGCCGCCTCCTTGGTCAGCCGCCTCCTTGGTCAGCCGCCTCCTTGGTCAGCCGCCTCCTTGGTCAGCTGCCTCCTTGGTCAGCCGTTTCTTTTCCTTCTTTTTGTGTATGAAGCTCCAGGGAGCCGTAGGGGCTTCCCACAGAAAACCAGCATTGAATGTAATGAAACGGCATTTTCTGGGTGAGCCCTAAAGGCTCCCTGGCAACCCTCCCTCCCACTGGTCATCATATTTTTCGCATTGGTTGAAGCTTAGCTTCCGAACTGATGCTAGGCTGCCGGCGCGGTGAGGTCCGGGGCTCCCACCTCTCCCTCTCTTGGCGGGGAGGCTGCGCGGACGATCGGCGTGGCAGTAAAGTGTGATGTTTGCTTGTTTCCCTGGGATTGTAGGGAGTTTCTACCTCTCTGTTCATTTTTTTGTTTTTAGTTTTTTACCATGTGGGGTTTGTTTTGTCATGCCTACCTTTCTGGGTGCCTGACCCCGGTCGATGGCAGATAAGGAAAACCTCAACCACAAGGGGGTTTTCCAGTGCCATTGCTCCCTGAAACCTCTCTGAAGGGGCGAGGTTCTGGCGCTGGTCCGTGATAGGTCTGAACTCCTTAGCTAATGTCCAAATCTAATATAACGTACATTAGCCCGATAAGTTCCAGGGAGCCTTTGGGGCTCACCCAGAAAATGGCGTTTCATTACATTCAACGCTGGTTTTTTATTTATTTATTTGCGAGTAACATAAACGTTCAAATATCTCTTTCATTTTTTATTCAATTTACATGAAACTTAAACCTTATATGTAAAGTTTATGTCTCTAAACTCTTAAGGAAGCATTTTTTCCTGAGTTCATTTATTGATTTTTTAAACAGCAATAAACATGATATATTTGCATAGTTTTTTGGGAACTTTGACTATTTGTTTTAGGAAAACTAAAGACGTTTTGGAAAATCCCCTCCTATAGATCCTTTATTATATGCTAATGTGTCAGAAAAGTGTCATTGAATGATTATATCTGAAAGGTGTGGTTGTAAATTTACACCTGAAAATGTATAAAATTTGTTGAAAAAATAACAAAAATTAAAAATCTCCCTTACTATTTAGGCTACAGTATTGAAACTTAGAACATTTGCAGCCCTTTTAATCAATCTGTCCTTTTAAAAAGAACGTCGCTTTTGGCCGTTTGCCCGTATGGCCAAATTTGGACGTAATTTGAAAATGAAAAAAAAATGAAAATGAATTTGGGATTTTTTTTTCAACAACAGTAAGTTAAGGGTCCTCTGATAGGTTAGGTGGGCAGAAAATTCTCATAAAGTTTCAAAACGGTATGAAAAACGTTAATTTAAAGTGTCCTCTTAACCTCTGCGCATACGCCAGACGACTCAAATAGAAAATGGAACAGAACGTCACTTTCGTGAGTCGATTTCATTTCAAATTATGTCCAAATTTGGCCATAGTGCGCATACGAGCGAAAAGTGACGTTATTTTTAAGAGGACGGGTTGTTTTAATATACAACTAGTCAAAAAATAATGGTTGACATTGAACAACTTTATGTGTCCATAAGTAATGCTCCTTAAACACAAGACAAAGTTAGAGAAGATTCAGCGGTATGCCACCAGGCTTGTCCCGGAACTGAGTGGTATGAGCTACGAGGAAAGGCTAAAGGAGCTGAACCTCACGTCCCTGGAAAACAGAAGAGTAAGGGAAGCCATGATAACCACCTACAAAATTCTCCTTGGAATTGATCTCCTCTTTCGGCAGATCGGGCCAGTACATCACATGGCTGGTTCGATCTTCTCGTAGAGTCTTCGCGTATGGTTTTTTTGACTCGAGTCTATCATCATTTCTATGGTGATCAGGTGGCCTCCTTGTTGGTGTCCCACCTACAGGCTTCTTCTCGGCGGCAGTATGAAGTTTCCTGGCGGTCCTTCTGTTTGTTTTTGGGTCTTCGTCATTTTAGTTCGCTGTCAGTTAGGGTGGTCTTGTCCTTTCTCTCTTGGTTGTTTCAGAACTGTCATCTTATGGCAAACACTGTCGCCTTGTATCGAGCAGCGCTGGCGGAGCTGCTTCAGCTTGTCTTTGGTATCGATGTTACGTGTGCACCGTTTCGCAAGTTGTCTCGTGCTTTGTTTCACCTTTGGCCTGCTCATGCGCTGCCTGACCTGTCCTGGTCTTTGGACAGAGTGCTCGCTTACCTTTCATCTCCTTGTTTTGTCGTGTCCCCTTCAGTCCAGGATTGTTTTTCCAAGGCTCTTTTCTTGTTGGCATTAGACTCTGGCGGGGGTCGGGTCGGGGAGCTTCATGCTCTCCTCCGGCGCAGGGGTTTCTACTCTTTCGGTCGTGGCGATTGTTCTATTCGCCTGCAGCTGTCTCCCTCTTTTCTGGCGAAGAATGAGACTGCTGCGTTCCGGAGGGGTCCGTGGGTGGTTGATGCTTGGTTGGTCAGGCCGGGGGTGCATCATGCTTTGTGTCCGGTTGCGGCACTTCGTCATTATTTGCGCGCCACGGCTTCTGTGTCCGGGGACGCACTTTGGGTTGATCCGGTTTCCCTTCTTCCCTGTTCGTATGTTCGGGTCTCCCAGGTCGTCTGCAGGGCTATCAAATCTAGCCAGCCTGCGGTCTATCCCCGTGCCCATGATGTCCGTAAGTTCGCGGCTCCTGCTGCCAGCTTTGGGAACATGTCTTGGTCTGATATTCGGGCGTGAGGTTTTTGGCGATCGAACAGGGGTCCTGGCTGCTTGTTACCTCGTAAATGTCCCTGGGCCCCGTTGGGCCTGTGTTGTTTTTGGTCGGCGGTTGCAGCTGGTTGTCTCGACTTTGAGTTGAGGAGTGAGCGACGACCGCCTCTAGGGTAAGTCCCTCTTTTTCCATCTGTGGGTAGTTAGCTCAGGGGAGCCGACGGGGCTCCCTCTAGAAAACCATCGTTGAATATAATGAAACGCCATTTTCTGGGTGAGTCCTGGAGGCTCCCCGGCATCCCTCCCTCCCTCTGGTTTGCAGTTTTTCGCGTTTTTGACATCCAGCCTCAGAACTGAGGTGTGAGTAGCCGGCGTGAAGGGTCTGGGGCTCTCCCTTCCCCCTTCTGGGGAGGGGGGGAGCTGCACAGACAGTGGCGTGGCAACGCGTGACGTCATACTAGTTTGCGTGTTTTCTGTTGGGGAAGTTCTATCCACTAGTTCGGCTTTTGTTAGCAATTTTAACTGGAATAGGGGTTTGTTTTGGGACGCTTACCTTTCTAGGTGCCTGATCCGGTCGATGGCAGACATAGCATGCATAGTGTTTCGGGCAAGTTCTTAATTGTAATATTCCCCGGAATACGAGCCGCCAAGTCGTTTAACAACGTTTTACGAGTCATTTAACTATGACTTCTAATGTTTTGTATTGATGCTATATGCTTCATATATTATATACCAGTTATATGGCCTCTCCAGATTAAAAAATAAGTACCTGTATTGTTAGTGTTAAGATGTTATTAGTTAAATTAAAGTTTATCCTTAGGTTTTATAAATTAATTATGCAATTTATTTCAGTGCATGATGCAGATACTGACATTTATTATTTGTTAACAGATGCCCCAAGGGTCTGAGTGTGATCCTGCTCATGCCTGGTGGCAAGGCTCAGTCATGTATGAAATTTATGTTCCAAGTTTTCAAGACTCCAATGCAGATGGAGTTGGAGATTTACCTGGCCTTATATCGAAACTTGAGTACATCCAGGTATATACCAGTATACTTTTTATGTATCCCAAGAATTTGCAATAAGAATAGTTTTTTTAACAAATTTGTATTTAACCCCTTGGGCTGCTCTTGCAATTACTGTATAGCCTGCAACATGCCCAGGCACAAGAAATAGAAAAAATAAAATAAAATATTTTTCTTATAAAAGTGTTCATTTGTGTTCCCTGGTCATGGGAAAGATAATAAAAAAATTGTAGGTGACATATTTTGGCCACAGTAGGGCAAGGAAGTCTGTCCAAAAAACCAGCGTTGAATGTAATGAAACGCCATTTTCTGGGTGAGCCCCTACGGCTCCCTGGAGCTTATCGGGCTAATGTATGTTATGTTAGACCGGGACATTAGCTATGGAGTTCAGACCTACCAGGGACCAGCACCAGATCCTGGCCCCTTCAGAGAGGTTTCAGGGAGCATTGGCCCTGGAAAACCCCATATGGTTGGGGGTTTTCCTTATCTGCCATCGACCGGGGTTAGGCACCCAGAAAGGTAGGCGTAACAAAACAAACCCCACATGGTAAGAAACTACAACAAAAACCGAACAGAGAGGTAGAAAAATCCCTACAATCCCAAGGAAAACAATCAAACAATCAATTTACTGCTGCGCCGGTCATCCGCGCAGCCCTCCCCTCCCCGGGAGGGGGAGGGGGGGCCCCCGGACCTCACCACGCTGGCTGCTGTCAGTTCGGAAACTAGGCTTCAACCAACGCGAAAAATCCCGCCGACCGGATGGGAGGGAGGGTATCCAGGGAGCCTCTGGGGCTCACCCAGAAAATGGCGTTTCATTACATTCAACGCTGGTTTTCTGTGGGGAGCCCCTATGGCTCCCTGGAGCTACATACCCAAAGAGAAGGAAAAAAGGGGACTTACCCGGGAGGCGGCGGCCACAAACTCCTCAACACGAAGTCAAGACAACTGGCTGCAACCTGCGACCCAAAGCAACACAAGAACGACGAGGAGCAGGGACGTTCACCAAATAACGGGCGGCCAGGACCCTGTTCGACTTCCAAAATCCACGCGCCCGAATATGTGCCCAAGACATATTACCAAACACGGCAGCCAAAGCCGCAAACTTCTAACGTCATGGGCGCGAGGATAGACCGCAGGCTGGCTAGACTTAAAAACCCTGCGGACAACCTGGGAGACCCGAGCCCTGGAACAGGGAACGAGGGAAACCGGATCAACCCAAAGCGCATCCCCAGCCACCCCGGCTGAAGCGCACAGGTAACGGCGAAGTGCAGCAACCAGACACAACACATGATGCACCCCCGGCCGAACCAACCAAGCATCAATGACCCACGGACCCCTCTGGAAAGCAGCCGTCTCGTTCTTCGCCAGAAAGGATGGAGAAGGCTGCAAACGGACAAACCTACCCCTAGGACCAAAAGAGCAGAAACCCCTGCGCCAGAGGAGAGCATGAAGCTCCCCTACCCGGCCCCCAGAGGCCAATGCCAACAAAAACAAAGCCTTGGAAAAACAATCAGGAACCGAAGGGGCCACCACAAACCGAGGAGAGGAAAGATAGGAGAGCACCCTGTCCAAGGACCAGGACGGCTCAGGAGGCGCATGAGCAGGCCGGAGGTGAAACATAGCACGGAAAAGCTTACAAAACGGGTCGGATGTGATGTCCACCCCGAAAGCTAGCTTGAGCGGCTCCGCCAGCGCCGCACGATACGAGGCGACAGTATTAGGCATCAAATGACGGTCCTGAAAAAGCCAAGTAAGAAAGGACAAAATAACCCGATCCGAAAGAAAAGACAACCTACGAAGAGCCAGAAAATGGCGAAAAGAACGCCAGGAAACTTCATACTGTCGCCTAGACGAAGCTCTCAGGTGGGACACCATCAAAGAAGCCACCTGATCACCATAGAAATGGTGATACACCCGCGTCAAAAAGACTAGACGCGAAGAGCAGAGGAGAAGGTCGAACCAGCCCCATACCGGATCGGGCCGGCCTGCTGAAGGAGGCAGAGCCGCGGGAAACGTCCCGGGTTCGGGCACTGAGCCAAAAGCACCGGAAACCAAGGCTGGGCCGGCCACCAAGGGGCCACGAGGACTACTCTCCCCGGGAATGTCTCTAACCGAACCAGAACCCGAAGCAACAGCTGGACCGGAGGAAAGAGGTACAGGTAACCCCACCTCGACCAGTCCTGCCGAAAGGCATCCACCGCGAACGGCTCGCAGTCGGGGAAGGGCGTCACATATATAGGGATACACCGGGACCATGCCGACACGAAGAGGTCCAGCCAAACCTCGAGAATCTAGCAGACGAGCCACTCGAAGGGACCAACCCCAAAGAGCCAAGGACCGAAGAGAACCCCCGCGGTTCAGGCAATGAACCACTGGAGAACAGTCCGAATGGAGGCGAATGGTCGATACCCGAGCGACCCGAATCCTCCGAAGCGCGAACCAGACAGCCGCGAACTCCCGAACCGTGCTGTGAGCCCGATGGAAGGACGGACCCCACCGTCCCTGGCCTGCCTGGTGAGCACTGGTCACAAATCCCCAGCCGAGAGATGACGCGTCCGTGAACACATCAAGCGAGGGCTCGGGAAGGCGCCAAGGCACCGAACCCCGAAAAGCCCGAAGAGGAAGTCGGTGACGCAGCAACCGACATAAGACCCCCGGAGGGCGAACCCAACGATCACAAGAGAGGCGGAAAGGACGTCCCCGAAGGAACCAAAACAGACGCCGAATTCAAACCTGACCCGGCGGGTAGATTAGCACAGAGAAGTTCAGACTCCCGCACAACCGCTCGAGCAACCGCCGAGTGACCCGGGACCCCCTCAGAAACAGCAAACGGCAGTCCCGCAGCCGCCACAACGCCGCCGAAGGGAGAGACAAGGAAGCGGTCCGAGAATCCCAAACAAGACCCAGCCAGGTCCGAATCTGGGATGGAACCAGATGGGACTTCCTCCAGTTCACCAGGAACCCGAACCTGGCGAGCTGGGAAAGAACCATATCCCTGGCGAGCAGACAAGCTGACCGACTGGGAGCCCACACCAGCCAGTCGTCGAGGTAGGCCAAAACCCGAATCCCTAGAAGACGCAGATGGGTCACCAAAACCCGGGTCAGACGCGTGAAAACGCGAGGTGCCAGATTCAAGCCAAAAGGTAGGCATCGAAAACGGTAAGCGTGACGCCCCACCACGAAACCTAACCAGTCCCTGAACCCCGGATGAATAGGAAATGCCAATACGCGTCCTTGAGGTCCAGGGACACCATCCAGGCACCCGGCTCCAACAGAAGCCGGACCTGAGACAGAGTAGTCATCCGAAAGGAGCGGCAAGGAATCCAGGGGTTCAGACGGGACAAGTCCAGAATGAACCTCAGATCCGCACAGTCCCGTTTCGGCACTGGAAACAGGCGGGAAACCCACCTGAGGGACGTAGTCGTTTCGACCATGCCCAAGCGCACCCACTCCAAGATGACTTGACGAAGCGCAGGAGAAGAGACCTGCCCTGTTAGCCCCCGAACCCCCAAAGGAGGACGAGTCGCCCAACGCCACCGCAGGCCGGATGACACGACCGAAAAGGCCCACAAATCGTGGGACCAAGCGTGGGCAAACAAAGCGAGCCTCACCCCCATCACCCCGTCAACGGGGCAAACCGCGAAAGGGCCGACGCCCCTTACGAGAACCCAACCGTCGAATTGGGCGATCACTGCGCTGACCAGACGACTCTGGCCCCGAAGGGAACAACGGCTCAGAAACTGGCACCAATGGCCCACCTCGACCAGCGGAACCCGAAACCCTGGCACGACCCCTCCGAAACTGCCGAGAACGACCGCTCCGGAGAATCAACAAGTCCGCCATAGGACGACAACTAGACGAAGCCGCATGCAGAAACTGGGACACTGCAGACTCTGCAAACAGCAACGGACAAAAAGGAGACGAAAACCTAAGAGCCAGGGCCCAAGCGGATTCCAAAATGAGGGCGAGCACAGCCTGACGGCACGCGAGGCGAGAAGCAAAAAACAGAGACACCGCTTCCTTCAGGATGGGCGCAAAGAGCTTCAACAGTGCAGCCGACGCCCTAGCTGCCGAAGACAGCGCCCCGGACGAAGGCCCTTCACTCAACGTTCCCACATCCTCTTCAAGCCAAGCAGAAGAGAGCTCGAGAAGGGAAAAGAAACGCAAGACCGAAGCCAAATGCCCACGGGAGCGCAACTCCTCCGCAACCAAGGAAGCCGAAAGCTGAGGAACCTGCACGTGAAGCTGGAAAAGGCCAACATCCTTAGAAAGCACATGAGCGAATAAGCATGCATTAAGGTGCTCAAACTCGCCCCCACCAAGGTGACACCCCTAGGGTCAACACTTGCAGCAGAGGAGCTCCAGCATATTTCAACAATCCTAAGTATTGTAGTACAGGTTGATGGTAGTGAGTGGTGTCCCAGAGAACATAAAGGTATAGTGCTCTTGAAAAATAGGTGAGATAACAGGAAAGTGCTAAGGGAAGTGAAAAATCGGATAAGAAAAAGTTGCCCTAGTGTTTACAGTGCAGAGAAGAACATTCAAGATGGCCACTGGCAAGGGGAAAAACAAAACAGAGCTTGATTTTGAGGGATTCAATGAAGAAAGCATTGATATTAGTAGTCTACATAACAAGTTGGTAAATTTAGATACTATAGTGAACTCTCATGTAGAAATAATTAGTAAATTGAAAGAAAGTAATGACCATTTGAATAGCAAAGTTTTATGTCTTGAGGGTTTAGTGAAAGACTTGCGCAAGGATAAGAATCAATTGGAAACAAATTGCAAAGCCATGGAAGAAGAAAATAAACTCTTAAAAATAGCTTTGGAAGAAGTTAAAGTAAATTTAAACATAAATGACTACAATAGGTTAGGCAAGGAAATTCAACAGGAGAAACAGCTTTTGTCAGCACAGATGGAGGAAGTTACACAGGGAATAGAACAGTGCAAGAAAGATATGCAACTCACTTATGCACAAGTGGCCAAGGAGAAGGAAAAAATAGAAGAAGCAGTAA